TTATATATATATATATATATTTTTTTTTTTGTTTTGTTTACACCAGCTGGCTCAGAAGCAAACTGCAACTCTTGTGAAGTTCCAGGAAATATTCCAGAACTTCTTTTTTGTACAAGCTGTGGGCACCACTACCATGGAAACTGCCTTAAACCTCCAGTGGCTGTGAATCCTGTGGTACGGACAGGGTGGCAGTGCCCAGACTGCAAGATATGTCAAACATGCAGGTATGGTTCTTGAAAATCATTAAGGACTACTTCAGTTACACTTGCTGTATGTTATTGTGTATAAAGAATGCTATACTCTACCTATCTTTCAGTAATCCAAGAGTTGTGCAGTAAAAAAATTGTGCTTAGAGGAATAAATTAGTTTGAATGCATATTCTATAAATATGTATTCTTTTAATCTGTAAACATCTATTAGTAATTTTTTCTCATTATGCAATAAAAAACTAGTTTATAATAATAAATATTAAAAATGGCATGTTGGTGTACAGGAGCCTTCTTTTGGTGTAACAGTTTTTTTTTTTATAAATATTTTCTAATTTAAAATTAAAGCATGTCCAAAGTAGACATAAAATTACTTTTTACGTTGTGAACATTTCAAAGATAATGTATATATTTTGTTTCCTTTAGGTTTGATAGGTATTACACAATGTTACTTTGATGGCAGAATATTTTCAGTTTCTTCGGGCTTAGAAATATATATATTCAAATGTAAGGATCAATTTGTAATTTATATAAAAATGCCAATTTGTTTAATAATCTATAAGTACTCCAAACTATACACTGCTGATTAGAAATAAAGGAGACCTATATTCAAGTATTAATATTCAATAATGTTGGCTGAATTATCAATTATTTTTCATAGACAGTAGTAGAAATGATACTCTTAGAATTGACCTTCAAAACCAACAGGTTTCATGAAAGACTCATCAGAGAATATCTGTCATACCGGGCAGACCTTCAAAGAAAAAGTATACAGAGTATTTGACAATAGTACTCTGCTACTTATACCAACACATGATTATTGTGTCCAAAAGACCACAGAATATTTAAGTTTCATGTTTATTTGAGATCTAGACTAAGAATGGGCAAAAGTTTGTTACTTATGTAAAACAACCAGCATTCTTACTTGAAACAAAGTTATTTAGAAAACCTGTTGAAGCTGTAGAGTTATTTGCACAGGAAACAAAAGCAGACATTTAAGAAAGATTTATTTTTGAATGATGAATTATCACTTTTTGCCAGCATGCACCTACTTGCACTGAGTTTATAGGCAAGCTACCCATATAAATGTTAGTAAAAAGGCTTAATTGAATTCAGTCTATATTTTTTACTTGTAATGCTGTGGATGACTTTTTTAATGATATTGATTGTGTTTTCAAAATCAATTTTTTAAAATTCTTCAATAATAATGTAAAGTTGCAGAAATAATACAGAATTTTAATTTTATGTGTAGGCATCCAGGTGATGATAACAAGATGTTAGTTTGTGATGTATGTGATAAAGGCTATCACACATACTGTTTAAACCCCGCTATCACCAATATACCAAAAAATGGGTGGAAGTGCAAGGTAAGAACAGATATAAGAGCAAAAAAATATATCAAAAAAATAGAACAGAAATTGTGAACATCGTTCAAAATACTGATTTAAAAAAATTTTTTTTTAGTGTATTTAGTATAATTTATATTTAAAATACAAGTTTGGAATTGTTAATCCTATCGACACGGGTCAAAGGCCATATCATTGTGTTTCTTGACTCGCATTCAAAATTTTATTGAACTACTATTTTTGAATGTATTTCAATACTTTTGGTACTAAATTGTAGATTATAATTCAAATTTTAGTATTATACATTAGTTAATTTCTTAATTTAAAAGTAAATATTAAAAAACACACCTAAATATTGATTTTTGTGTGTCACATGTTATGTTGAATGCAGCATTGGTTCAGATTTAATATTTGTGATGTCCAAATACAAAGTCTGTAGTTTCATACAAATTAGAAACTCAAATTACCGATATTAACAAGCTAGTATATAGCATAAGAACCTCCTATCTTTTCTATATGTTGAAATATTGCTACATTTACTCAAACACAGTAGCCCCACCCACCACTTTCCACTTTTGGAAATGCTTGTTTATGTACATCTATTTCTGTCTATGATGTGTGAATAATCAATCGAAAGCTCAGAATGCCCCGCTAGTGGCTTTCTCAGCCTTTTTCAAATATTTGGGTGGCAAACAATTTTCTTTTTATGCTAGATTCCAAGTGATAAGGTAAGGCTTTAGTGAGCTCATAATTTCATATTTTTGTAGACTGAAATACAGCTTAGTTACTAAGCTTGATAAATTATAGTGGAATTCTATGTTATTGACATAGTAATTTATAATTTTTGGTTATTTCAAAATGTGTATATAAAATCTGAAAATAATTATTTCATTTCGCATCATCGGTGTGCGAAATTTGATAAGGCTTAGCAACCTATGGTGAGCAGCAAATGGGTACAAGGTTTGTAACTGGATGAGATAATTGTTTGCTATGCTTCTTATTTACTGTTCTACGTTTTAAGACAAATAAGTTTAAGAACCCATTTCTAAATAGTAATAATGTATGTACATACATTATGTATTATAACTGAAATGTGACTGGATTTTGCAAAATACTAGTCCACTAAAAAACAGCCAAGACAGGTCACTTTGTAAAGGCGAGTTTTATATTCTTAGATACGATAACATGAGTGCGAAAGCACCAAGTCATTGTAACTTCTATATTGTTAGCCAGGTACGACTGATATGTCAATATAATAATAATAAATATATAATGTTATGAGATTTAAGCTATTTAGACCAAACATTTGTGTTTTCATGTTATAATTTGTAGTCATTCTAAAAAAAAAAAGCATAATTCATATTTATTTTCTAATTTTTTTATGGTGGTTAAGAGGTCGGTAAAGGTGAATATTATATTCTTGGATATGGTAACATGACCGCTAATGCACCAAGCTATTTAGATCAAACATTTGTGTTTTTGTGTTATAATTTGTAGTCATTCTAAATGAAAAAAAAAGCATAATTTATATTCCTAATTTTGTATAGTGGTTACGAGGTTAGTCAAACCAAATGAACCAGTACAGAGATTCAGTAGTTAAATTAACAGATAAAATATGAAGTTTTTTTCTTAAAAATCATTTGTTAATTACCTGGAGGTTATAAAGATTTCACATGTGAAATTTGAAAATTTTCTGATGCTTCAAAGTATTTTTGATCTTAAAATCAAAATCCTTTGCATGTTTGACAGTCAACATTTGAAGAGAAAAAGGTATGACAAAAACATCACTTAAAAATCTTAAAATTTAATAAAAATACCTGATATTTTGCACATGAAAGTCTTGTAATGTTTACTGATAATCTGCAAAATTTCGTGAAGGTATGATTACTAGTTTAACAGTTATAGCATGAAAACTATAACAAGCACAAGATGTTACAACATCGGTCTCTGGGACCGAGCCTGTGCTGAAATAGTTAAAGCATGCTTGAGTTTACTTCATAAACAGTTTTTCATTACATTTTGTAAAGAAAGCTAGTAATTTTGTTAAACCAACTACTTAACTTCTTCCACATGGGATTGGTTGAATCTATAACTTTTAATACAGTATGTGTAGCTTTACAAAATTTGTCAGACTTTCAGTAAACATTACAAGACTTTTGTACACAAAGAAATTAATTTTTAATTTGAGTATTGTTAATGAAGATATGCGTGTGTGAATATATTGAGTAGTTTTGTTTACTAGTCTCAGTGAAAAGTGATTTTCATGTTAAGATGAAAAATACTTTTATTCTGCTGAAAATATTTAAATTCCATTTATATAATCTCTAAAACCTCCAAAATAATTATAAAATGTTGTTTTTAGTGAGACTTTATATTTTATCTGTTATTTTCTCTACCTTAACTATATATATGAGATTGGTCAAATAACCACCAAAGAAAAATTCTAAATAAATCTAAATTGCCCTTTTTTCTTTCTAGAATGATTTTAGATTGTAACATGAAACTGCATTTGTTTATTGTAAATAGCTTTAAACGTATAACGGTATACATCTGTTTATACGTAAATTTTATTGTTTTATTTACCTTTGAACAACTGATATTCCCACCATAAGATGTGTGAGTCAGTTGGTGAATATGGAGCTCATCTTACCCTGTTGAATGACATAATGCAATGGCTGCTCACGGGTGTACCTCACGAAAATTTGTATTATTTATTTTACTTAATCTAACCTTATGTAACGTAAAACTGGCAGTTTGAGAAAGAGGGGATGTGATAGGTGGGTGTGGGAAGAGGGGTCTGATTTTCTAGATTATGGCTCAAATAAGATTGAAGGCTATAAAAATTATGCTTTGTCTGAGCAATAACAACATTATAATGAGTAATTAACGTTAAATTTCTTACTTCTTGTAGGGATACCTGGAGAGCAAGTGTCACAATTCTGGTATAAGGATTTTTTAAAATATTTCCTTATAAAATTAAGAACTTGTATTAAAATTTTGGTTATTATCTACATTGTATTGCCATCTTTATTTTTATACTGTGATAATAAAGTGCTTTAATTTAATTTTAAATATAACTCAATAAAACCTCGTGACATGCACAGAAAAGGATGCATATATGGAAAGAGTTAAAGTACGAAAGACTGAATAAATTTAGAAAATGCTAACAATCTTGAGAATATTCCTACTTAATTCTATAATTTTTAATTTTTGTTAACTTCTATGTATCCCCAGAACTGTCGTGTATGTGGAGATTGTGGATCTCGCACCCCTGGAAGTGGACAAAGCTCCCGGTGGCACAGAAATTACACTGTTTGTGACAGCTGTTATCAGCAAAGAAACAAAGGAGTAGCCTGTCCTTTATGTGGAAAAGCCTACAGACAGTTCATTGGACGTGCAGAAATGGCTCAGTGTAAAACATGTCGAAAGTAAGTTTGGTTTTTGTAATATGCTACTTTCATTTTAATAGAATTATATTTTAAACAATTGAGAATATTTAATGGAATTTGAACTCAGATTTTTTATTGATAATTCAATTTTTCATATTTAAAATAACTTCAGCTGTCTAACTACTTTTACATATGTAAAAAACGTTACAGTAATCTTGACTTTTGTACCTCAGCTAGTTACTGAAGTATTCATCAAAGTTTGATTAGTGAAGCATTTTATGTGTGGCATTTACAATTATATATATTTTTTGAAGTATAAAGTTTTCATTTTAAACTGATATTTGTTTGTTGATATTGAATGATGTAATGGAAAATTAAGAGGCCAACATCTGTGAGTGAATGTACCATACAATCTGAACATGACTAATTTTGACACCCGAAAAATTCAAAAATGTCTACATCTCTGCTATGAACCTCAAGAAGGTATCTTTATACCAAGTCCTATGTAAGTTGATTGACATACACATGAATAGTTCACATAAACCTCAAATTGTACTTTCCTCCATGAAATATGGAGCAAAGGACAAAAATTCCAAAATTGTCATATTTCTGTTTTGGGGCCTCCAAAGTGTATTCTTGTACTATATATCATGTAAGTTGTTTGAAATATGGCTAAGTAATTAACAAAACCCCTAAAATTGTGGATTTAATTAACCCATTTGAAGCATCATATTTGAATTTATTGGGATTATGGCCAAAAATAGTATTAACAGCAAGGGTATCCAACTGAGGAAATATTACTTTCTAGTCTTTAAAAGTATATTTAATTATCTATACCGATTGCCAGGTTGAATTTTAGTTTCTCTCTGACTGTAAGTTAATTATTTTGTTAGGCATAATCTTTTAAATTTATAATATTACTGAAGAAACACAACATGATATAGGGATGAGAGAGGGATAAATTTCAAAATGAAAATGTAGTGTTAAGTGCAAATTGTGCATAGAAATTATAGCCTTTATGTTCTAATTACTAAATATTATCAAAAAGTGAAATAATTGCCCTTATTTATTTCATTTACATTTCTGACTACTGTAAAAATATTTTATCACAGATGTATCCATCCAGAATGTGACCCACGGATAGCTCAACAAAGGCAGAGTTTATCAACCAGTTCTTATATTTGCCCTGTTTGTAATGGAACTCGTCCTGCAGTATGTAGACATATTCATTTTTCTCAATATACATGGTGGATTTCTTTTTTTTTTATATAATTTAAGGAACACATAGTTACATAATCATAGCTACTGTTTTATGAAGTGGTTATCCAGTTAATAATTAAATTTATATGTTAACTTTTATCCAGAATAATGCATACATTTTTTTTGTTACGTAACTTATATAATGACTATTATATATATTTATTATGAGAAGATAACTGAGAAAAAGTGTATATATTTGTCTTTCTTATTTGTGCTGTTTGTATGAAGGTATATAACATATCTGTTAGTTTACTACTTGTTACCTGTATGGTTATTTTTTAAAATTTGATTTCTTATTCAATAGGTTTCTGCCTTGCGTCTTGATGTAGAAGGTTTGACAAAAAGTAAGATGTTTTTCATTGATTTTATTATAATAATTAAACTTAGGTTTAATATACTGTTTGTACATTTTTAAACTGGTATGAAAACTTTATTTTCTGCAGAACTTTATAGAAATTATTCTGTAACATTTTACCTTTAATATTTTTTGGTATCATAAAAATGTTACTATTGCAATCTTGTATTGAAAAAATAAATAAATTTACAATTGAACAGTGCGGCATGGGATGTTTCACTGTGATTGTAGAAGTATCAAGATATTTGGAAATATTTCATTAATATAATTAGTGTTTAAAACTTTGAAATGATTAGTTCGAAGTAAAGATGAAGGTGCCTGTACGCCGTCAACCCCAGATACTTCCATGAACTTGTCTAGAGAATCACTTGGGTCAGGAAATGATGATATTGTATCAAATATAGATACAGACTTTTTGGGTGCAGAAAAGGTAATGATTATATTTTGTTATTATTAGTTCAGTATAGTTTTTTAAAATATCTTTGTGGGAAAATGTCTGCTTTCTTATCCTTAAAAAAGAAAATCATTTCTGAAAGTAATTGTGAGAAATTATATGTAGAGGTTAATATATTATGTACTTATTTGTAACTTATGTGTGATTGGAATTTTTGTTTTACATAAGAAGTATTTTCAGATTTTATAATCTGCAGAATAAGCTGTTTTCCTAAGGATTTTGAAGAAAGCTTATGATCTTATTTTGGAAAATGTCAGTGTGGTTTGGGGCATAATTTATACCCAGTATTTCTAAAAATATGTTGTTTTTCTTTGTAGCCTCAGTTTGGGTTTTCCCAGTTTGGATCAGCACCATCTCAACCAATAGGATTTTCTCAGCCTAGTGATATAAAGTTTCCTGTATTTCCTCTGACAAGAGCCCTGACTGGAGGAGGCAAGTTTTTAGGGAAGAGAAGGCCTGGAGTTGGTCGACCACGAGTAGGTTAATTCTAGAGCATAAGATTTTACTATCTAATCTATTGAAAAATAGAGGTGTATGAAATAACTATAAAAACAAAAAATGTAAAGATTCTATTTTTAGTTACTTATTAAATTCCATTGTATTTTGTTTGAGGAAATTATATAAACTTTGTTTGACATTAAAGCTAAAATTATTTTAACCCTTCCACACAGGTCAAAGGCCATGTTATCGCATTTGTTGACTCGCATTTAAACTTTTATTGAACTGCTTTTTTATAATTTACATCAATAAGTTTGATATAAAACTGTAGGCTATAATTCAAATTTTAGTATTGTACATTAATTTCTCAATTTAAAATTAAATATTAAAAAACACACATAAACATTAATTTTTGTGTGTCACATTGTATGTTGAATGCAGCACTTGTTCAAATTAGATGTTTGTGATGTCAAAATACAAAGTCTATAGTTTCATATGAATTAGCAACTCAAATTATCAATATTAAGAAACTAGAATTAATAATAAGAATGTCCTATCTTTTCTATTTGCCGAGATATCACTCATGTACTGAATCAAACACAGTGGCCTCACTCATCTTTTTCCATTTTTGGAAACACTCCCTTCTATACACTTACTTCTGTCAGTGACATGTGAATAAACAGTTGAAAGCCTAAAATGTTTTCCTAGTGGCTTTCTTGACCATTTTCAAGTATTACAACATCATCTCATTCTTTTGATACAAATCTTAAAGCTGCTAAGGTGATGTCTTCAGACCCAAATACAGCTTAATTACTAAGCTTGATAAATTATAATGGAATTCTATGGTATCGATATAGTAATTTATGATTTTTTTTTTTGTTATTTAAAATGTATAAATAAAGCCTAAAAAAAATTTTGTTTCACATCCTCCATGTGCAAAATTTTATAAGGTTTATCAACCTATGGCAAGCAGCAAATAAGTACAAACACAGCCAAGACAGGTCACATTGTAAAGACTAGAGGTTAGTTTTATATTGTTGGATATGGTAACATGAGTGCACTTGTGTCACATCATTGTAACTTCTGTATTCTTAGCCAGGCACAGCCGAAAGGTCAATATATTAAAAATAATAAATATATTTATAATGTTATGAGATTTAAGCTATTCAGTCCAAAATTTGTGTTTTTATGTTATAATTTGTAGTCATTCTAGAACAAAAAAGGCATAATTTATATTTATTTCCTAATGTTTTATGGTGGTGATGAGATTATTCAAATTAACGGAACCCATACAGAGATTTGTTAGTGAAAATACAGATAAAATATAACATTTTTCTTAAGAAACGTTTGATAACTATCTTGACATTATATGGATTTCACATGTGAAATTTAAAAATTTTCTGACACATAAAAGTATTTTTAATATAAAATAATAATAGCATGAGAAAAACATTGCTTAAAAACCTTAAGACTTAATAAAAAATCTGATATTTTGCTTATGAAAGCATTGTAATGTTTACTGATAATTTGCCAAATTTTGTGAACATACGATTACTAATTTAAAAGTTATAGCATGAAAACTATAACAAGCACAAAATGGTTACAAGATCAGTCTGAGCTTGTGGCGAAGGAGTTAATAGAGCTAGTAGGTTTGGACTCAGTATGATGTACTCTTGATGCTGTAGTGTTTCTGTATTTATGAATTTGTGGTATTGTAGGGTGTTGGAAAATTTGCTGGAAAACGTAGAGCAAAGATTGCAGAGTTCCAGAGAAAAAGAGGTCCAAAGCCTAGAGGAGTCAAAACCCTACATTTTCCTGGTGTATACTTTTCTCATGTAAGAGATTAGAAAATAAATATCGGTTAAAAAAATATAAAACAGAACACAGTTTAAACATTTGTAGACAGTTAGGGGGATGTTAGAATGTTTTCTATATCATTTATATATGAAAATGTGCATTTATGATTCTTGTGTGTGTAAAGACACCATTTTGGAATTATTAAAGAATTGAATACAATCAGTATTTTTATTTCAAGTATGACTAATTTTTAAAATGCAGTTTAATCATGAAAACAACATAACCACCAAATGGTTCCCATTTGACTTACTACATTAATCCTTTTAATGCCTGCAGATAGCAAAGTCATTCTGGGTCATTTTAATCTATTTTAATAATTTTGTTTCAGAAAGTAGTGTACTGATGTAAATGTGTGAACTGAGCACTCTTAAATTTTTCTTCTAATATCTTCTATGGCTTACACATTTTAATTCTAGAGGCACTATAAATTGAGCTGTGAATTCATTGTTTAGACTTGTGTGTACATATATTTCACTTCAAGGAGAAATGACAAATTTGCATGTTCATTATCTTTCTAAATATAGATATGCTCTCCAGCTAAAAAACCATTGTAAAGTGGAGGCATTACACTTCAAAATTATTTAAACAACATGCCAATTTTTCATTCATCCTCCATGTTGGTAACACTGAAAGCAAGCAGACAGAGCCAACAGTTAAAATCATGTTTCTTGTCACTTTAACATTGCATTTGTTAGGCAGCTTGAGTTACATTCTTTGGTTCTGTTAGTTTTTAATGGTGTGCTTTTGTTTTTGTTTTTTGTAGAGCTCAACATTCAGTGACTCTAAAGAAACCAAAGATGACGAACCAGGTGTAGATAATAAGCTTGTTTTGTGTGCTACAAATGATGAGTTTGTGTTGTCTCAGGTAAATAGTTATTTAGCTTTTGTGATATTTTTGTAAATTAATTTTTGAGTGAGTATTTAGATATACTGGTAATTATGTATGCATGGTTTCCAGTTTATGACTGGTAAAATATATGACTCAGTTAAAACATGGCCAATTAAAAAACTGTTCTGTAGTTTTCTGTAAGAATATATTTAAGATTTCATTAATGCATAACTGTTTGTTATATTAATTGTACAAAATACATTAAAAGAATATACTGTTTTTAAAACAAAATGAAATTGTATCACAGCACAGTACTAAGTCATATTTGTGTATGTAAATGTTGTATTTCAGGATCTCTGTGTCATGTGTGGGAGTTTTGGAAAAGGAGAAGAAGGTAGATTAATTGCATGCTCTCAGTGTGGACAGTGTTATCATCCATATTGTGTTAATGTAAAGGTATGTTTTAATTGAAGCTGATGTATACATCAGTTTCCTGTTTAAATAATTTTTCCTCAGAAAAAACAGATTTTAACAATCTTTTAAGAAAATTCATCAACATTAAAATACTTTTATAGCTAATGTTTGAAAAATACTTTTATAGCTAATGTTTGAAAAATACTTTATTTTACTTTTACATCAACATTAAAATACTTTTATAGCTAATGTTTGAAAAATACTTTATTTTACTTTTACATCAACATTAAAATACTTTTATAGCTAATGTTTGAAAAATACTTTATTTACTTTGTTTAATAATCTTAGCATAATAATCTGGATCCTTATTTATTAAACATCTTGCCTCCTAACAAGCTTTTACTTAAATTTAACCCTCTCAATATGGGGTCAGTCAATTTGACCAAGTCATGTGGCCTTTTGTACTCATTTAAAATCTTTATAAAATTAATACTTATAACTCAGTATATTTGGTATATCTTCACAAAATTTGGCAGTCTTTCAGTTAATATTACAAGTCTTTCAAATTTCTTAGTGAAGTATTTTTAATAAAATAAAATAAAGATTTGTCCATGAACATATTGAATATTTGTTTTGAATAATCCGTGTGCAAAGTAATTTTCACGTCAAAATTAAAAATACTTTTTGTCATCTCAAAAATCTCAAATTTCCTTTGTGTAATCCCTAAAACCTCCTAAATGCATTTCAAACAATGTTTTTTTTAGGGTAAAACTTTATAGTTTATCTGTTATTTTCTCTATGCCATCTCAAACCGGGATTGGTCAATTCGACTGACCTCGTAACCAAAAAAAAAAAAAAAAAAA